AGTCTGACCTTGTGCCCCTGGTAGTTTTAATGGCATGCGCTACTGAATCTTGCGGACGCCGTCGAGTGCTTCTGGAATGTGGGCAGCCCTGTGCAACAGAACCCCCCGGGGGTGCTCGTCCACCTGTGGGTTCCCAGGCCCACCCCCGAGCTGCAGAAGCGTTGGAAACTCTGCATCTTCGCAGGTGCCTGTCATGTCCCACCCAGGGTCCCCCCTCAGGGCTCACTTTTGCACGGGAAACAGGACATAAGCCTCAAATTGTCTTTGCCCTTGGACCCGTTCCCTCCGCTGATCTGATGCAAGAATAGTTTTTTGTCCTGCAGCGGTGAGTTTGTTGAATAGATCCCTTGTGCTCCAGGAGAAGAAACGTCGTGGCTCCTCGCTCACCACCACCGCTGGTACAGGGGCTGCTGAGGATAAAGCGGCTCGGATTTCACGGAGCACATCGAGCCACTTGAAAGTCAAGACGACGTGGGGCTGAGCGTGCACCGGGCTCTTTGTACGCTTGGTTTCTTGTCTTTGGCCATTTGTGGGGCACCGCGGCTAAGGCTGCCGGACCGGATTAAAGTGGGAACATTCAAGGGTTGAGCCAGCGGCAAGATGTGCCCCTGGAGGGCAGAGCAAAAGCTGCTGACCCACCTCCTGCCCTTGACCACAATCGACTCCACACCCGGGGTTTAAGGAGAGGGAAAATGTATCCTCTTATGTTCACTGCCTGGGGACCTGCAAATTAAACAGGCAAAGACAGAGTAGCAGGAGAACAGGCATACCATTTTCATTGATGTTAATACTTTTACATGCATGGGAGCTTCACAGAAAAAGCAGCAAAAACTCAAAAAAGTAGCTCGACTTGGGGGCTTAGTGTCATTTTAAGAAAGGGCCATAAATTGTGGGGAAGTGACTAAAATGTATGGGGGGACTGATGGAAGATAAGGATTATTTTAGGAAGGTCTGTTGATGCAGATTCACCTTGGTGTGACCCCCAATCTCGTGACAACAATCTCCTTTCGCTGGCACAAAGGGGCACCTCTCTCAAAGGAAGACTGATGCCTGGCTTTCAGGCAGATAAGGGGAAGGCAAGAACTTTTCCCAACCTGCTGATTCCCGATTACCTTCAGCTCAAAATAATCCTTATGCCAAATTGGCAGATCTCCCGGTGGAATTGCCTGACACCCCCCCGCCCCAGCATCGTCAGCACACCCAGCTGGGGAAGGTGGGCTGGGGCCTGCACAGAACGGTGATTTCAGGCAGTCTCTCTGAGTCCTACCTGCCCCCATGCAGGACGGTTGACCTGTGCGCCAGGGAGGCCTGTCCTCCCCACGGCACCAGCGTGGCCGTGGACTCCCGTGAAAGCGGCTCTCTGAACCCAGGAGCCCACCAGGTAGCACCTTAGATGGTAAAGACCAAGCCTCATAGTCACAAGGATTGAAAATGAGATAATGAGTAATTTTTAGAAGCGTTTAGTGAAATATGTGGATCAGCTGTAACTTTGGATGAGCCCCTTACTCTGAATAATAAACAAAACCAGGCCCTCAAGGCAAGGACACCGTTGCTCCGCGAGAGGGCGCCGTGGGGACGCCCTGTCACCGGTGTGGGCGCTCCCAGGCTGGCGGGAAGGGAGGCCAGATTTGTGGGAGACCCGCCAGCCTCCAGCACGGACAGGATCAAAGACCGCGCTTGCCACGGGGGCGTCCGTAGGACAGAGAACGGTTCGGGGGGTCTCAAGCCCGAATGACTTTTTTTAAATGCAACTGAGGGCCTTGAGCAAAAGGGAAGCGCTCTCCCCCACTGCTGTGTTGCCTGTTGCTAGGAGGCCCGGCGGCCACAAACAAAGTCAGCCAGATCGCATTTCCTCTGCCTCAGCCCTTTGAGAAGCCTGACCCGCCCGGCGCCCTAGCCCTCGGCACAGTCTGCTTGAGGGTTTCCAGCGGGAGGATGGGAAAGGTTGCAGGCAGCCGTTTGGAACTGCCGGCCAGGCTGGCTCCCCCACCGCAGCGGCCTGAGCTAGGTTAGTCTGCAGGGACAAGCGGGAGGCAGGCCCGTGGGGGCCCAGCGCCTGCCCGTGGGCCGCGGCCAACCCGTGCAGGGCTGGGGTCCGAGCCTGGGCCGCCCGGGTCTAGGTCCTCAGTCCAAGCTCTTTCCGGGCAATCAGTGGCAAAGTCAGAACTAGAACCCAGGTCTCTTCGGGACAAATGAAAGAGGCACACAGGCAGGAGTGGACAGAAGAAAACTTTAGGAGGGGGCCGACGGGGACACAGAATGACCATTTGCAGAGAGACGGGTTCGTGCCAGGGAGAGAGAATGTTCCAGGCTGAGCTGGGTGTCCCGCATGTGCCAGAGCCAAGACCAGAGGGGCGCCCCACCTCCTCCCCGTCCTGGCCCGAGCCCGAGCAAGAGGTGGATGTTACTTGAAAGGACTTACCGAGAAAACAGTTTTGGACGCATTTTTGAAGGAGAGTAAGAATAAAACAAAACACTTAACAAGAAAGTTTGGAAGATAAAACAAAAGACAAAGAGACCTAAAACTAATAGTAATTGAGGAAAGATGAGAAGGAGGACCAGTCCCAGAAGTCCGGTGTCTGGCCGGTAGGAACAGAGAGAACAGGGGCTTCTGGCCGAAACAGTACAGTTTTCCAGAACAGAGACCAGACATCTCCAGGCTGGAAGGCCCCACTGTGCGCCCGATGCAACAAATACAGACTCACGCCAAGATTCGTCATCGCAAATTCCGAGCACCCTGAGTGAAGAGAAGACGTGCAGGGAAACAACTCGCACAGACGACCAGAGTGGCCACGGCGAGGGGCGGAGCGGGGCCTCCGCCCGTGTGGCCCGGAGACCAGTGAGACGTGAGAGCAGAGAGAATGGTTCAGACGCGCTCTGGCCAGGCGCCCGCCCATGAGGAAGGACACCCAGCACGAGGATGGGCAACGGGATTCGTGGGCTCCGCACAGGCCGGCGCTGACAGACAGGCGGAGTGACCGCTGATGCAGACGGGCACCCGAGCGACAGGAGGAAACCGCGTGCCTGTGGTATGGAGAATAGTGTCAGGAAAAATTGAAGCGCTTGGGGGAAACGCTAAGCAAGTCACAGACACACAGTAATTCTTGGTTCCAGCAAATCGATGGAGAGAATGGCTCATGCAAAGGGCCTGAGGCGAGGCTGGGCAGAAGGGGGGCACAGGGCCATGTCAGCGGGTCTGAGGGGCCAGGACGCTGCAGGGTTTTGTGCTGAGGGCGGCATGTCCTGATTTACCTGTCGGCAGAAAAATTCTGCCCCATGTGTTGAGAATAAACCGGGAGGGTGGGGGGCCACTGCCGTGCTCCAGGGCAGGACGCGATGGGGGCTTGGACCAGGGGCCGGCCCTGGAGGCCCTGCCTGTAGGTCGGATTTGGGTGGACTCTGAAGGCCGAGCCGAAGTGTTTCTTGACGTATTGGCTGTGACATGTGATGGAAAGAGGGGGTCAGAAACGGCTCCCAGGTTTGGGTCTGAGCAACTGGAACGATGAAGTTGCCATCAACGGGGGACAGTGTTCCCAATAACTATTGAGGAACCAACCCACACTTAGTGCACAAAACAACAACAATCACGTTACTATTATCATTAGCTCTCGTGGTTCTACCGGTTGACTGGGCTCGGCTACGCGTGTCTCACTTGGTGGTTGGGGCTGGGGTCCTTCGAAGATTCCAGCAGCTGGGGTGCACACATGCCCCCTCCCCCAGTTTCTGCACACCGTCTCCCCAGCGCGGGCCCCCAGTGGCCAGACTCCGCACACGGTGGCCCAGGACTGCACGGTCACGCCCCACGGCGGAGAGGAAGCCGCATATGACCCAGCTCCAGAGGGTCTGTTCCCTAGAATCGAGTCGCCGTATTCAAGTAGAGTGGGGATCAGTTTCCCCCTCTTGACGGAAGTGGAGTCACGGGATTTGTGACCGTGTTTTGAAGCAGCAGATTTGGGAAGAAGAGAAGAATTCAGCTGGGGAAGGTTTTGAGTCGAACGCTACTTGCAGAGCTGATGGAAGGCAGACCCTGACCGTGACTTTAACCCAGACTGTGATGTGACCACACCGGACATGAGGGGGTCTCAGAGTGAGCGAGCCAAGCGCCCACCCCACTGTGGGAAATCTGCGGAAGAAGGAACCGTGAGGATGTCTCCTGGGGGGGGGGGGTTTGGATGCACCTTTTAGCACCATTTCACCTTTTACTCTGTGCACATGTATTACTTCGCCAAAATTAGTTTTTAAGAGACTGTTAATTCTCAGTAAAATTGATTTTAAAAAGGGTATAGGAAACAATTTCCATATGGCAAGGGCCCTGTCTGCTATGCGTCTGTCCTCACACCTCCAGCCCGCGGGGACCCCAGTGTCCAGCCCGAGGCGGCCTCAGCGAGCCCCCAGCCCTCCAGGCTCGCAGGGCAGGGCCGGCGCCCACCTGGGAGACGGGAAGTGGGGCCCCAGGAGCTCACGTACTCATCAAAGACGAGAGGAGCCAGGTCTGCTGGCTCGCGGCTTAATGGCCTGTCCACAGGGAACACGGTGGCCACCCTCACCTCAGGTTACGCGGGCGGGTGGGGAGAGAAGGGCCATGTTCTTGGAAGGGAAGTCCATCCTCTAAATTAAGTGCATTATTTTTTCCTGAATAAAAACACACCTGTCATGAAATCCACTGGCCCAAAGACATTCGATACAGCAGCTGTGATGGCCCCCGTTTCCCCTGAGTCACCCTGCTCAGGTCAGTGGAAGCCTCTGGATAAAGTGACAAAGAAACACACAGATCTCCTTTGGAGTGAAATTCCTTGGCCTGGAGGAACCACAGAGGGGCACAGGGTACGGGGCGGGGCAGGGCCATCTCCCTATGTGGGGGGAGGGGGGCCCATAGCCCAACCCTGCCTGGGGGCAGGAGGGAAACACCAGGGCAGGGCATGGTCACTGCCAATCCGTTAACCCTCTGCAGACCATGACCAACGACCCCCGATCCGTAGTTAGTTACGCGAAGAACCTGCTCTGGTTACGTCAAAGCCTTTATTAACGTGGTAACGTGGCCTGGCGAATGGTGTCCCCGAATTTACCAACAGGCCACGCAGCGGTGGCCATGATGTGGAGCAGCGTCCACAGGGGAGCAGACCCAGTCAAGGGACCGCCGTGCACCTGCTCTCGGCCCAGGGTTGCTCACAGGGGACACCCGACACAGCAGCGTGCTCCGGGGGGTCCTATGTACCCCACGGGGCGGCACTTCCTCTGTTGACCATTCTGTGGGTGCCGGGGCAGGTGGAGCGGCCCCGGCCTGCTGTCCGCTCGCCGGCTGTGGGGTCTCTGGCTGGGTTTCCAGCACTTCTCTGCTCTAACCAGTTCCGTTTTATTTTTTCCCAGTCTCAGGATAATGACTGAAGGGAAGGACATGGTGGTCTCCCCGTGAGGCTAAGAACTATCCTTCTTCCAAGGTGGTGACTGGCGCCCTAGGGGCTGAAATCTGACCCTTTCCCCCAACGGAGGCTGCACTCAAGCCTGGAGAAGCTGAGTTACAGCTTGTTACTTCGGCTTCATTTATTAGCACCTGCTGAATAAACAAACACTGACTGGAGCATAACCTTGACCCCGGAGCCGCCTCCCCCTGGTGTTGGGAGTCTCTGGAGGCTGGAGCTGAAGCAATCTTGAATGAGAATGTCCTCTACAAAGAAAGGCAATGGTGCCTGATTCGTTCTGAAAGTAAGCACTTGGCCTTCAGAAACTTGGGCCGGACCGTGGGGCCCTGAACACCCGCGTCATTCGGCCCGTTCCTCCTGCCCTGACCTCGCGCTGAGCAGCCTATCGCGCTAGCATGCATTCAAAACACTCACGGAGCACCTACTATGTGTGAGTCAGGCGCTTGTCAGGCCATGGGGACCCCGAAGGGAGGCAGGCCCCTCTGCCTTCACGTAGGCCGTGGTCCAGTGATGGAATAAGGTGGTGCGTGCGGGACGCGGCAAAACCAGCTCCTGACGGTCCGGGCACAGAGGCGCAGAGGGTGTCTGGGAAGGCCTCCCCGAGCCAGGGATGTGTAGACTGAGCTCTGAGCACCGCATAGGAGAGAGTCAGGTGGACGGGGAGGACGGGGCAACGGGGAGAGCTGGGGCTGGACTCACGCCAGGTTAGGTGGCCTTCAGGACACGAGAACCCGTCCAGTGCAGGTGACGAGATGACCTTTCCTGGGGGCTGTGTAGGGAACGGTGGCCAGTTTTAGGAGGTGATGGTTGTAATCCGAGTGAGAAGTGATATGAGCCAGACACGCTTCTGAGGCAGAGCAGACGGAGAAACCGAGATGAAGAGCCATGGAAGTCCTCCTCACACGTAAAGCGCTCTTAAAAATCAAGAGGAATAAATGAAAAATGGACAGAGACATGAAAAGAGGGAAGTCATGGGAGGAGATGCACAAACGGCCCATATACACAAAAACCCACTCATGTTCACTTGTAAGACAAGTATAGATCGAAACAACACTGGCACTCCCTGCTAATCTGGGGCCCGACCGTTCCCACGGCTGACAACACTCGCCTGGGGGACATCCCGCTTCTCACCATTCCTGCTGGGAGTGCAGGAGGGCTGCACCCTGTGGACGCGGTTCGACCACTGCTGACCAGACAGGGGTCGAGCTGCCCCCCAGCAATCTCACCTCTGGGGTTCCACCGTGAAGAGACGCCCACACGAGTGTGAACCGCACACCCACAGGCCGTGCTCCGCAGCACTGTCCCGGGAGTGCGGTGCTCGTGGCCACACGCTCCGAAGAAAGCTCAGCGCACACGCACGCGCTGGAGGACCCCGCGGCCGTGCTGTCCCGGGGAGGAAACAGCTGCACAAAAATGAAAGGCAAGGTCCGCGGAGAGTATGCGCCACGGGAGTGGGCGCCACGGGAGTGGGCACCACGGGAGTGGGCGCTGCGCTATCTGCAGTGTAAGAAAGACAGAAAATAAAAACAGGTATGCATTTGCTTCTTGTCGTGGGAGAGGGAAGAGAAGGAAAGACACACAGGGAGGGTCAACCAGAGCTAAAGCAGAGCAGGAGTGGATGGAGGACAATGAAGGGAAATACACCTCTCAATACAGTTTTGACTTTTGAGTTAGGTTAACAGTGTACGTATCCAGAAAATGAAACAAACTAATGGAAACGAACCCTCGATTGAATACGAAGAGAAAAAAATGAACATAACCGCATATCAAATTCATAGGGTGACTTCAGAGAGAAAACAAATAATGTGAGTAACTTTGAATCCGATATTCTGTGCAACAAATAATAGCAGTAACTTTGAATCCTTGAATCTGATATTCTGTGCGCCCGCCCGGAAGGCCGTCTCCGGAGGGAGTGAGGGCATCAGCTTCAAATTATGACCCGTGGTCTGTGTCTTGTAGGAGAAATGCGTACATACGTGGAAACTGCTGGGAGTCAGAGTATAAAGAGGAATATAAGTACAGAATGGAGGGCAGGACAGATGAATCCTGGGGTGTTGGATTTGAACCGGAGGGACTGCTGTCCCTGGAAGCATCTCTACACGAATGTCTTAGCCGCGTTCACCGGAGGGGCCTCGACGCACGACACCCAGCGCCCAAATCCTGATCGATAAATAGGAGCTCCCCCGAAAGAGGCCGGGATTTCTCGAAGAAATGACTGATTCCAAGTTCAGGTCAAAGGTCAGCCCGAAAGCAGGGAGGTGCCGGGAGACTGGCGGGGACACACGGAAAGGGCTTCAGAGCGGTTGTCTGCCAGTGGGCAGAGCTTGAACCATGTGAGCACGACGCCGAGGGCTACAACACACCGAACAAAACCGAGAAAAACACCAAGAATCCATGAGTTTAAATGGAATTTAAAAATCACCATTTTCAACGCCCAGTATACAGATTATAAATATCATCCATCGACGATCCTTGGTGCAATCAGCCAAGCCTCCAGCACGAGCCCCTCACGTGCCGCCACGTTTTCGTACTCATGCCAAGCTGGTCTCACCTGGATCTAGTCGGGAGGAGCCAGAAACGCCCAACGTGGGGCGCAGCCTGGGAGCAACCTGCCTGGGCTCCTCCAAAGAGTTGAATGGAAAATAGACAATAAATGAAACGTGCAGGGACTGTTCTGGATTAAGACACGGGAGAGACATAGCAACCGAATGTAACGTGTGAACTCTGACTGGACCCTGGGGTTTTTTTTTTTAATTTTTTAACAGCCATGAAAGCCATATGGGGACGATTAGAGAAATCTGAACACAGCTCACATACATGTCTGATTTCTGAAGCATGCTAACACGTTGTGTGTCTAGGAGAACATTTATATTCTCGGTGGGTGTGTGTTTAAGTCTTCCGGGGTGGGCGTCATGATCTCTGTACGTTACGACCAAACGGCTCAGCAAACCGGAGACAGAACAGGAACGTGGCAGAGTGTTAACAGCGCAAAGGAAAACACACGTTCACCGGACTCTTCTTCCAACGTTTCTGTAAACTTGAGATTTTTCACAACGGGACCTTGGGGAACACTGATACTTCTGATGCTCCAGGACACTGACCAGGAGAAGAATCTTGGGCCTCTCCCAGCAAGCCTTCCATGAATGCCTAGTTCACGGCGCACGCAGGGAGGGCAGTGAGCGGCTTGGGTAGCCCGTCCACAATGCGCAGGTGCAGGAGACTTGCGGATCCCCGGGGGGGCAACACAGTGATCACGCTGCCATCTGCTGAGGTAGCCAACACTGGAAAAGGAGCTAATTTTAGAGGGAAAGGAGGTGCAACATGCCATTCAGATGGACCTCCACTGACTCCCAAAGCCCACGGCAGCCCGGGGCTGTGACCCCCCGATGTAGGAGACAGAGCACAGAGCGTGGGACGCAGGGAGCAGAGAGGAGTGGTGGATACAGGAAAGGAGGCCATGCCGGAGACCAGGAAGAAACAGCCAGCGAGGCGGGGGACCAGGAGGCGTGGGTGAGGCCACGGACACCAGGAAGAGGGTCCAACCCGGCCGACAGCACTGAGACGTCAAACACGCCAGGGACACTTGTGAGTGACTGACACACGGGTCTGTAAAAAACAAGCGCGTACCCCTGCCCACGTGACGGCCCTGGATCCACCGGAGGGAAGACCCCGGGGAGCCCAGATGCACCCAAACGCTGCTGGCATCCCCCCCTCACTGCCGCGAGCCCCCTCACCTGTCCTACTGCTTCAGAGCCCCTTCCAGCTCTTTATCCCACCTGGTCCGTGTCTCCCTCCCACAGAGGCTGCCCGGATGCCCAGAGAGCCCAGCATTCTCGCTCCCTCCTCCCTGGGTGTTCTCCCTTGTTTGGTGCTTTCTAGGGAAGAGGCAAGCCCAGGTATTTTTCACGTGCTCTTTGGGCCAAAGCAGGACCAAGAACCAAGAGATAAGAGATCAAAGGCTCCAAGAGCAAGGGAGACGAGACAGATAGTCATTTATCTGTCTCATTTATCACTTAGCAGGAGCCGTGATCCACAGGGGTGTAGAGGTGAGAGCAGGCCAAGAGAAGGAGCGCAGAGGGCTCGAGTTGCCCATCAGACAGGCACAACGGATTCACCAGAACACACAGGTCACCCGTCACTGGTTCAAGAAACCCAGTCCCGAGCTGGTTCCGCTGGGTCAGTACGACGTCCCACCCCAAACTGACCAACTTTACCAGCATTTTTAGCTGGCCACCCAGTTACCTGGAGTCCTACAGAGCTGCTATGGCTGCAAATAACATCCCCTGCCTGCCTCCTCCGGTTACCGGACACCCACCACCGCGGCGGGGGAAGCTGAGAACTTTTCATCATCTCGCCCATTTGCGAAATTCACTGGCTTTAACAAACTGTTCCCCAAACACCTGGCCTGTCCGTGCTCCTCTAACTGGCATGTGCTGTATCATATTCAGAAAGTGCTTATAAGCTCTCCCTTGCCTTGAGAAATAACCCATCAGCTGTCAAAAAAGCTAAAGCCCATCTTGGCTCTGGTGAAACGTTCCCGTCAGGGAAACACAAGCCAATTTGGTCAAATTTAATAAGTTTTAACCAAAGCCAGGTGAAGGACTCTATCTGGAAAAGCAGGAGAATCTTACAAGCACTCTGAGAAATAATTTTCTCCGGGGAGGGAAAAAAAAAAAAAAAAAGATGTACCCTGGTGAAAAGGCACCTGAAATTGGACGCCACAGAAGGGAACTTTCATGTAACCCTGATCCAACGCTGTGGTTGCAAATGTCCTCAGATGTGCTGCCTTTCTGCATTTTCTGCCCCGGCCTTGGAACCCACGGGCTTTGTGTCCTAGAGGGAATCAAGTTTAAAACCCACTAAGTCGCGAGAGCCCTCGCCAAAGACCACAGACGAGATCGTCATAGAACCTACTTTAAAGATATCTCGTCTGCGTCATTCTGAATGTGAGACATGAAGAACACCACTCCTCCGGTTTAAGAGAAATTGTTCCTTAGTCTGGCAGGATCTGCTCTATTTTATGTGCAAAGGTGCAAGGCCACGTCTGCATTTCAGAAGGGCTCCACTTAACACGGGTGAATACTCAGTAACATGTAGAAATCCTTTTGTATAGAGCCCTGGTATTCCCAAATTGGCTTTAGGTTTGAAACCCTAAGCTGCAGCTTGGAAAAAAAATAAATAACAGGCACCGTGTCTTTGCTAATAAGAAGGCTCACCCTCCAGAGCCTCCAAGAACGAGAGGGAAAGGGAAGAGTTCCCACTGTGGGGAAATCTGAAGGATGGAATAAGACTTTAGCCCCAACAAACAAATCTGCGGAGCTTCTGCTCACCCTCCTGGCAAGTTCTGCCATGTCCCTCCTCACACCTCAACGAGCTCCCGCCATGTCCCTCCCC